GTGTGAAACTGTGCGTCGGTCATCACACGAAAGAGGGTGTCCTCGAGGCGATCGAGCTCATTACGCTTGAAGCCATCCTTAAAGCAAATAGCCGCGTAAGCCTATTTCGCCATTCAATTTTGCAGGCATTCTCTCTCTCTCTCTCTCTCTCTCTCTCTCTCTCACTCTCTCACTAACTCTCTCTCGCTCGCTGTCTCGGTCTCGGCCTCTGTCGCTGTATCTCTTTCTCACCCACGCTGCATGTTTCCTCCATCTAACCGAGTGCAACCGGCCGGGCTTCCTGGCCCGAATTCGTCATCCCCTTGTTGTAGTCAAGGTATAAGGTGCTGTAACAAAACTGACCTTGAGAGGAGCAGAGCCTCTTTGCATCTCCTTGGATCTCGCTCCTCCCCCCACCCCTCCAGCCCTACCAGGCCCGTACGAGGGGGGCACCAAGCACAGTGCCCCGAAATCGGTCGAGGTCCGAAAAGTTCATAAGGGGGGACCCTTATGATTTTTTTCGCAAAAATTTTTCTGCCTGCGGCGCTGTTTATCACTGTTTCGAAACGATTTTTACTTCTAAAAAACCTATTTTTCTAAAATTTTTTGCCTGCGGCGCTCGTTTTCATTAGTGCACCATTTTTGCTGAACAAAATTTCGCTTGCGCGCGCCGTTTCCGATGCGTTTTCACACGAATTTAAGCGTTAGAAACGCGGTTTTTTTAATTTTTTCACCTGCGCCGCTGTTATTGTCGCTATTTTCGAATGTTTTGAAAGTGGTGACGGGGGGGGAGGTCGCCAAAAAATTTTTGGGTGGGTGCCCCCTCCGAAATCTCGGCTCCCGTACGGGCCTGAACCCCACCCTCACAGCACCTGATCTATGACATTGTTTCTGTTAGTCCTGTAACTTAAGAAAACAGTATTCGCATTCCAGCTGAGCCTCGGCTACACCGATGCAAGGGAAAAAGAAGCGCGTTTTTTCAACGAGCTGCTCGGGATATCGGCGCCCTTCTTCAAGGTCACCATTGCGAGAGGAGAGTGCACAGCCGAAAGACTGAATGTAAGCGCAAAAATATCTACATGTTGCCAAAGTAGCTCAAGTTCTCCAAAGTAGCTTCGCTGCCGGCTCTGGTTGAGTTCGCCTCCCCGGCCCCCCTACACCCAGCTACTGTATCTCGGCTCCTCTTTAAAGGGATGGGGAAGGCCTAGTAGATCAGGGCTCATCCATAATTGGCAACGAGCCAACCGCGAATCCTCATTCAAAAAATCGGCAAAGAATGGGACGAGGAGGGCGGGATCAGAGAAGATTTATGTTAATTTAGAACTAAAGCACGTGTTATGCTAATTTTCCCTGAGCCTTTCTGATGCCTTTAAGGGTACTGTTCTATTTCGAGTGGGGGAAAAAACTGTGCGGGGGGAATTTTCTTAGTTTTGTTATAACTCCACGATCCCATGTGGAAACACCGAATAAACTTTGTTTTTGCTATAACTATTTTATACAACAATATTTTTAGATGAAATTAAAACTCTTAGTATATTTTTTGATCATCTATCGAATGACGGGTTCAAAATATCGAAAAAATGGCGAAAATGCCGAAAACTGACATTCCGGAACCAGTTTCAATAGTTTTTTTGGTTTTTGCTATGACTTTTTTTATATTACAACCAGATGGTTACAGTCGCTACGCGACTGCAACCATCTGGCCTTCGGGCTACCCTATATGTCCCACTCCACCACATCCATTCCCACCTCCATCAATGCCGCCGATAGCGGAAACCCCGTTCAAAAACTACCTAAATACCTTCCTGATGGCATCAGATACCCCCCATGGCTGAAATCCCCTTCAAAAACTACCTAAATACCTTCCCGATGGCTTTAGATACCTCCCCTAGCCGAAATCCTTTTAAAAAACGAAAATAACGACCGACCGGATGGAATGAGAGAAAAAAAGAAATGAAATCCCCCGTGAAAATTTTCATCCACGAAACGCGCGCCACCTGGCTCACTATGTCCAAAATCACCCCAACCCCCGTCCCCGACCCCTTTTACTAAGGAAAAAACTTTCAAAGTTAATTTTAATAATTTAAACTAAAAGTTTTTCATAATTTTTTTTTATCAGTTTGGGGGTTTCTGACCATGCTCTATCCGAATCCGAAGAGAGCTAAGCTCTAGCTCCTTTCCCCTTCGAGTTGAATCTGGGACATGACGCACAGACAGACAGACGGACAGACACCACAGCAAAATTATTATAGTTGATATTTTTAGCTAAAACAAAAACTCTTAGTATATTTTTTGATCCTCTATCGAATGGCGTTGCATAAATCCCGAGAAAATAGCGAAAAGATGGAAGGCTCCGCGAAGCATATTCCCCCCGCCCCCCCGAACAGTTTCCCCCCGCGAAATAGAACAGAACCCCGTTAAGTTACAGGAGTGTAAAGGATACTTGAAAACCCGTCAGTCCAAGACAAACATTTTTGAATAGTTTGCACACGTCTGCAGACCCAGGGGAAGCTGAGATACAAAAGCTGGGATGGGGGCAAACTTCACTCTTACCTTAAAACCGATGGTCACTTGGCGGGGTAGCTTAAATAATTTTTTATAGTCGTTGTCCGACGTGGCGAGCGGGATTGCACCGAATAAGGAACAGGAGCTCCGGGATCAGTTTGCGTCGATCTACCAGGCCGCCGGCGTTGAGGTCCCCGTCGAGGAGCTGGACCAGGCTGTTCATTTGCCCTATACTTGGCCCATCTCCCCCGAAATCACTCGCATTAGCAATAATCATAATATCCAAAATAATCAGAACCAGCCTCATTATTACTTCAATTAGTTATACTTACCAATATAGTCCTGAGCAGGGCAATGCTATTATTAAAAATTAATTTCTGCGATAAGTTTATACTTATCGCCGAATAACCCCATTTATTTATCAATATAATATTTAAGATATTTAACGTATAGCCTTAATAATTTAATTTGAAAATAGGTTAAGACTAGACTCTGCAGGAAGGTCCCAAGGTATCTTTAAGACCACTAATGGCAATCGGGAATTGCAAAACATCGCGTAAAAATTATAGGTTAATTGAGCGTTTAGCAAGTTTTGCCCGATTAATTTTGTTTTTGTTATAATTAATTTAAACCAGGGTTGAAAAGCCGCTTCGCGACTTTTCAACCCTGGCCCCGTCGGACCCCGTTTTATCCTTCACTTTGCATAATTTTCCTGAATTCAGATGACAAAAAATGAAAAACTACCTGTTGAATCCTCATTTCCGGTCTACGCTAATTGTTCCTAACAAAGAGGTTTTTACAAAAAAATTAAATTTAATGTCGAAAATAGGTGATTTTGTTAAATCTGATAATCGTGCAGTCATCTCCAGGCCATTACGCATTAATGACGTATCATACATACCTTAAAATTCATCTCCTATCGAGATATCCTCCGGACAGACATCCGGAAGTGGATGCAAAGTGGCACACACAGACACACACACACACAGACACTATTTTTTTATATATAGTAGGATCAGATTATTGTAACCAGCAATTAGCATTAGTCTGTTTTGAATGCTCTATCGGATGGCGTTAACAAAATGATGAAAAGCAATAGCAAAAATGGGGAAAATAGCTTCCCTACCCGTTTTCTTGGCATAATTTTGATAATATTTTTGCTGGCAATTTGCTCAAAATTTTTGGCGAAAATCCCGTAAGACAACGGCAATATCGAAAATCTTGGGACCTTCTGGATGGGACGATGGTAAAATTAGTATCGCCGAAAATATGCATGTATTATTATACTATTATTATATACTATTATATTGTATTATACTATTATTATATTATTACTATTATTAAGGTATCATTACCATGATATACCGGTTGCCCCTAAAAAAGATCTCGGCAAACCCCATACTGGTCGCCTCCTTGCGAGACCCCATCATTATCACCCCAAATTTACATTAATAACCGAAAATACAGTTAGTGGGCTTGATAGGCCACCATCTTTTATTTTTTTCTGATGCGCTTGCACTTGAGAAAATATTGTAAGACCAGCGCCCAAAACCCGCTTCGCGGGCCTTGGGCGCTGGAATGCGGCCTTTGCATGAAAAATTTGACTTCCCGATAGCTCGGGTCCTTGGGACCCCTACCCCCCACCGGCCACACACGCGAGTGCAACTGGCAAGAATGAGGAAATTTGTATTTTTCCGCATTATGCAAATTAGCCTTCAGGGACCCCAAAAAATGAATAAAACCGGCTTTAACTTTGTAAACTTGTACTTTATCGAAATTCTGACAACGACATCGGAAACAGAAGGGTCGATTCCCCCGGGCGACGAAGAATTAGGGCATTTTTATGCACGGGAAGGCCCTCAAATCGGGCCTCGAAAGTGACATCCACACACACACACACACACACATACACTCCAAAATTATATAAGGTAGGATACTATGGCGTCTATATCGTTACATTATGCACTATTACCACCGTATACCGGATGCCCTATAAAGACCTCGCCAAAACTTATACTGGTCTCATCGTTGTGATATACGATCACGGTCTCTCAGCAAGCCTCAGTTTTTTTTTGTGATGCGAATTGTTGGAATCTATAACCTGTCATCCTGAGAATAATTTACCATCTGTGCCACTCCGCCTGCAAAAAACTTTCCCGATACTTGCACCATTGGAGCTGGATGATAAATATTCGCAAGGACGCAATCGAAACACAATCAACCTAGAAAGCGCAGGCAGGGACGTGTTCTGCTGAATAAAATCTTGCGCTAGTAGCACTCCCGTGTTTTTTCTGAAGTCAGGCACCTCAATAAAATCCCTCCTCACACCGAAACCGATTAATGACCAGCTATATTAGAATGCGACGAGACGCCGGCGAAGGGCGACAATTTCGCGTAAAAACTGCACTCGTAAAGATACGAAACGAGATAATGAAATACACAACAAATTGGGGAGGCGCCGGTCAAACTTTTTAGCGCATGCGGAGCCGCGTGGAGTACCATTCGCCCTGCCATTTATGCCATACTCTCAAAAAGTAAACATGCTTATCAGATGTTTCAAGAAGCTGAAGATGATTTCTTCCACAAGCCCTGGTAGAGCACTAGGTTCTTATCGTCTCCCGCCTAGTTTTTGCATTGACAAGGGATAATCCTAGCTTATCGCCTGCTTTTCACACCTAACCCCAAGCGCAGTGTGCCATTTTTTCTGAGTTGATACTAGCTTTCACCCAGGGCTTGGTGTCTAGTTTTTACTTACTGGTTTTTTTTAATTTTCTAGGGCAAATGCCTATCACCGAAAGTGGTGCACCTGAAGGAAGTGGGCCCGAAGGAACCAACCGTGTTGAATATTTTCACAATGTACACCGCGAGTACTATTGGGTAAGCAAGAAGAAAGTGTCGCTCCCAGATCCTTTGGCCAAATTGTCAGCAACGATCATCAGCGAAGAAGAGTTGCAAGGATTGGCAGGTGCGAACCCAATACAGGTAGCCCGAATTCCAGTCATTTTTCCTAAAAATCATTTTTCCTAAATTCATTTTTCCTAAAAATCATTTTTCCTAAAAGTCATCCTACTCCTACTATATATAAAAAAACCAGCCGATTACAGCCGCTTCGCGACTGCAATCGGCTGGACTTCGGGCCACCCTCCATATTCTACACCACCACATTTAATCCCTACCTTACGCTGATGCCTTCATGGCAATAACTACACTGATGGCTTCAGATACCTCCTCTAGCCAACCCCCACAAAAACATAGCTACCTTCCCGATGGCTTCAGATACCCCTCCGGGTCGAAATTCCGTTAAAAATCTACCAAAATACCTCCCTGATGGCTTCAGATACCCCCCATGGCTGAAATCCCCTTCAAAAACTACCTAAATACCTTCCTGATGGCTTCAGATACCCCCCATGGCTGAAATCCCCTTCAAAAACTACCTCAATACCTTCCTGATGGCTTTAGATACTTTAAATAATTTAAATAATTAATTAACATAATTAAAAAGTATTAAAAGTATTAAAGTAACTCAAAAAGGCATCTGGGCGCGCGAAGGGGCCTGGGGAAGAGGGGCGAAGAGAAAGGGGGCGTGGCCTCCCGGGGAGCGGGGCCCCCACTCGTTTTATTAAGGCGCCACTTTCAAAGTTAATTTTAATAATTTAAACAAAAACTTTTTCGTAATTTTTTTATCAGTTTGGGGGTTTCTGACCACGCTCTATCCGAATCCGAAGAGAGCTAAGCTCTAGCTCCTTTCCCCTTCGAGTTGAATCCGGGACACGACGGACAGACAGACACCACTACTTTTTTATTATAGTTGATGATAGTGTCTGTGTGTGTGCATTTGCATCCAACTTCCGTCCGGCTGTTCCACACGTATCGGTTCAGGGGAAGGTTTTTAAGGTATGGGAGATATGTCATTAGGTGAGAAATCGGCTTGGCATGGCTGCCGACCTACCAGATTACACAAAAATGCCATTTTCGATATTAAATTGTAGATTTTCGCTAAAATTCGGTCGCATCACTTTGTTAAACAAAAATTTGCATTCGCCGGAAGTGGTTGACGCCTATATAAACCAGCAAAGAAGATCGTTTTCATTTTATTTGGCCAGAACTATCCAAAGTGGAGACCGTTCGGGGATCGGGACGGGGCCAGGGTTGAAAAGCCGCGAAGCGGTTTTTCAACCCTGGTTTTTCCTAAAAATCATTTTTCCTAAAAGTCATTTTTCCTAAAACCGGTTAAATACCGAAAAGGCCTAGTTCTTTATTACTATGCATGAGAAAATAGAAAATTTTTTAGAATAAGGTCAGATCTGCCTAGAGTGACGATAGGAAGTATTTTAGTTGCGCGTTTAGCCTAGATTTGGGTGATTGGAAGTGAAAAGGATCAATGATAATAAGAAAGATTTTCGTTAAAAGCCTACTAATAACCAAACCAAACAAATACTGCTAAAAAATGATAGCATTTGGAATTTCTTGATATTTTTACGCATCCCTATTGAATGAAAAATTTTAGGAAAAATGATTTTTAGGAAAAATGACTTTTAGGAAAAATGATTTTTAGGAAAAATGATTTTTAGGAAAAATGATTTTTAGGAAAAATGAATTTAGGAAAAATGAATTTAGGAAAAATGATTTTTAGGAAAAATGAACATAACCCAGGTAGCCCAAACCCAGGACTTTAAGTCGACGATTTAACGAAGAATTTGTGGGACGGCCTGGATAATTTCCAAATGGATACCGGCAACGAGATCGGTTCCATCCATCGTCTGGGTTATATTTTCGAGAAGCTCAAAACGGGAGCAGGGCTTGCAGCGATTTTCGATTCCGCCAAGATCTTCTGCGGAGCCGGCGATTTTGCTACTGTAACCTAAGATTATTTTGGAAATGATGGAACGTCCCTTTTAGCTTCTGGTGAAGCTTCAAGGCTGCTCAACTGATGATGACATGCAGGTTTTCGTCGTCCGCTTGGCAGATGGTAAAACGACTCGCTCGATTAAAAGGCTTTCATCATCGTGTGGGCATGCTTTCAGGTCGGCTCCTCGTCAACCTGGAAGACAAATTTGACTACACAATGACCGGCTCCGAGGAAAATAAGAAGAAGTGGAGGTAAACTATTTTTATAAGACGGTTCGAAAACCGCCATTCTGTCATTAACTTATTAATTGATCCCAGAAAAGAGGAAATGCTCTCTCAAGGACGAAACTCGTGTCCGTTAAACCTTTTTTAAGCGAGCGGCACTGCGCCGGCCGCAACTTTGAGAAGTACACGTCGATAGAATGGCATGCCGGAAGAAAAGCGCAACCTTCGAAAGCAAGCGCAAAGTGCGAAACTTCGGAGCAAGAGGTCTTGTAACTTCGAATCAATTTGCAGCAGTACGGCCCGCAGTTGTCGGTACCCAGCCAATGCAGGCCTTCATTCGTGAATAGGTGTTCCACGAATGGCATAAAATGTGCTGATTTCAGTGTGAAAGCGCGGCCATGAAATATCTCTATTACGTTGACGTGGTGCATGCGAAGCCGGGTGGGACACCGATTCTACTCTCCAGTCAGGTCGACCACATTGGGCGCGACGGACACAGCCCAATTGAAGTGAAGTCGACCGGCGATTCCAAGTTGGAAGGCAAAAAGCTTCTCAGATGGGTACGTTACAGCATACGTGTTTATTCACGCTGCCGTATTTAGCAGACGGCCGCGAGTAGGCGTGCAGCCATCTCGGGGCCGTTACGCAGGCATTAGCTGCGTAACGGCCCCTCCTTCCGACTATTACCTATCAGATTTTGCAAATTACGCTATTTTCAACATTAAAATTGAGTTTTTTGTTGAAAATCCGGCAGCCTTCTTTGTTAGGAAAAAATTAGCATACGCCGGAAGTGGCGGCAGCCTATATATAACGCGAGAAAGTGAAGTTTTTCATTTTTTCACACCGAAATTCGAGAGACGTAGGCAGATGAAAAAATATGACGGGGTTAGACGGGGTTAGGGTTGAAAAGTCGCGAAGCGGCAGCGTACAGTTATACATATATACATATTTACAGCCAATCCGCTACGGGGCGACGGGGGCGCAGCTTTGCGTGGGATATCACGATGGGACAGGCATCCTGGAAAAGGTCGAGCTCATCGACCCAATGGAGAAGATCCCACGAGAGGTCGAGGCGTTACTGATATGTCAGTCAAGGGGGCATCGGGTAGCCGGCAAGCAGTAAAGTATTTTTCTAGGTTCCACCACCACCAAAAGAAAAAGATAAAAAGGTGAGTGTGTTTTTTCGCCGATGGGTACGGCAATTTAGGAGTTCGAAGAGGTGACCAGCAAGAAAACGATGAGCCTGGTAAAGAATAAAACGAAAGTAAGTGATATTTTGTGTGGCGGAATTATTCAGCCTGCGGGAATTGAATTGAGGAAATGTGAATCACAACACTTAACAAAAACAAAACACAAAATTGCTTTACCCCGCTGATTTGCTATCAATGTCAAAATTTCCGAATGTTGAGATTTCAATATATCGAAATTTTTTGCCTGGTCTTGCGTTTTTCTCGTGAGATTTGCTTATGTAAATTTCGACACGCTGAGACATATGAATTTCGACATTATGACTTTCGGCATTTCGAGGGTAGATGTGCTATGAAGGCAACGGACCGAGCGGAATTGCTATCATAATGTCGAAGATCATAATGTCGGGATTCATAATGTCGAAAATCATAATAACAAAATTCAGAATGTCGAAATTTTTTTTGCATAGGATTCGGGGTTTCACCCAGAATGTTAGCCTATGTAAATGTCGACATTCTGAATTTCCACATTATGATTTTCGAAATTTTGAAAATAAGCCGACCGAGCGCAACCCCAAGCAAAAGAATTCAAGGGAGCAGGACAACAACACTCCCGTTACAGATTGCAGAAAACTTCCGCGGAGCGCGCGAGAAGGGTGACGAATTCTTCCAAAAGCTTCTTCGCAAAACTTCTTCTGCTGAGCCGTTCTGGCAGATCACCATCAAGAATTCTAGCACGCCACTCACGGAAAAGCGTCTAGCGGTGAGTTTTCGGGTTCATGCTGGTAAATTTGATTATTTTGATACAGAATTTTTACAGATCAAAATTTTTAGAGCATCTCGGACGTTGCACGCGGCATCCTTCCCAAAGACGAACACGCGGATGGGAGGGAAAGGCTTAAGCATCTGTTCAATGAGGTTCTTCAACACAACAACGCTCCCGCGGCCCCGAAAGGCGCGCCCTCAATGTCGAAAACTATGACGCCGATCACTTCGTCCATTCAATAAAACACTCCTGCTACCTGAATTTCCACCTGACTCAATTTTTGAAGGGTCACCTGAATAAACCGTTTGTTATTTATTCTTGGGGAGCTTAACGGTAAATGCACCTACAGTAACGGACAAAAGTTTATCACCCTCGTTTTTCCGACCTTCTAGAGCGATTTCCCGGAAATTCCCGGCCATAAGACTTCCAATTTACTATTTACTAGATGTAAAATTACACGCTGATTCCGAATTTGACATTTTTAGAGCCGAAAAATTTTATTTTAAGGGTCAAAATCGCGAATAACTTTTTTACCCTAAAACACGGTCAAAAACAAACTTTTTTCTGTGACGTTTTCGGGGTGCGCCATTGTGATATTCGGAATTTCCGATGTCAAATTAGCCGGTATAAGTGTTTTCCGGATTTTTATTGGGTGTCTAGATACCATTTCCGGAAATCGAGCAGTTAGCCTTCGACGGGCCTTTAAAAGAGATTTTTGGCGTATTTCAATAGCGGATCCGGATTCTACAGGGTCGATTACATCAGGAATAGTGTGTTTAGAATGCGAAGAAAACAAAATTATTTTTTCTAGAAGCATTTGTTTAGAAAGCGCAACCGCGAAAAGTCAGGTTGTGGAAAGGAGGGCTCGAAACAGGTCAAAAACGATTTTTCACAAAGTTCTCTTGTATCGCATCGGAAAGAGCACTATCGAATGTGTAGAAAAACATTGTTCAAAGAAGAAAATGTTCTGAACTATCCGAGATTTATTGATCGGAAGCCGCCAGAAACCCAAAAACCAAAAAATGCTAACTTTTCAATCTGAGATTTTCGCAACTTTTCGTTAGCAAATTCGGAATCTACGCTATCGAATTACCCAAGATACATTCGTTCCAAATTTTTTAACGATTCTAACAGTCGAGAAAATTAAGAAGAAGAATTGTCGTCGACGGCCGAAAAAATGTGGCCCCCGGTCCTGCGATTTCGCTTAACAAAATGGCCAAAAATGAAAGTCTCCGTTTCGTACCATAAACAATATTTTCTTACACATTCGATAGTGCTCTTTCCGATGCGATACAAGAGAACTTTGTGAAAAATCGTTTTTGACCTGTTTCGAGCCCTCCTTTCCACAACCTGACTTTTCGCGGTTGCGCTTTCTAAACAAATGCTTCTAGAAAAATCATTTTGTTTTCTTCGCATTCTAAACACACTATTCCTGATGTAATCGACCCTGTAGAATCCGGATCCGCTATTGAAATACGCCAAAAATCTCTTTTAAAGGCCCGTCGAAGGCTAACTGCTCGATTTCCGGAAATGGTATCTAGACACCCAATAAAAATCCGGAAAACACTTATTCCGGCTAATTTGACATCGGAAATTCCGAATATCACAATGGCGCACCCCGAAAACGTCACAGAAAAAAGTTTGTTTTTGACCGTGTTTTAGGGTAAAAAGTTATTCGCGATTTTGACCCATAAAATAAAATTTTTCGGCTCTAAAAGTGTCAAATTCGGAATCAGCGTGTAATTTTACATCTAGTAAATAGTAAATTGGAAGTCTTATGGCCGGGAATTTCCGGGAAATCGCTCTAGAAGGTCGGAAAAACGAGGGTGATAAACTTTTGTCCGTTACTGTACATTTTTACGGTTGATTAGGAAAGCGCGATTTTTTGGCCGCCGGCAAATTCGGGTTCTTTCTTCACGCCTCAGGGGCCGTTGAGTGATACAGATTGCAATTCTACGTCGTTCCTCTCTCTCTCTCTCTCTCTCTCTCTCTCTCTCGCTTCTGATATCGATAAGCCCTTATCGCACAAAACCCAGGGCCCGATTCGGGTAGCAAACGTTGAAATATGGCATTCGCCTCCCATTGTCTTCTTGGTTCCTGATTTCGTCTTTTTCTTGGCTTGGGCTAGACCGAACGGTCTGGTCTTGTTGGACTTGTAGATTGTTTTTTCTTAAAACTCACAATCATGAATTGAAACCCTTGGGGCAACTAGCAGCGGTCCTTTTGGAGGTCAAAGGCTGGTAGGCTAGCAGAGAATATTCTGGATTTACGGACAGGCGAGCAGAGATTCTTTAGGAAAGGGCAGGCTAGCAGAGATTCTTTAGGAAAGGGCAGGCTAGCAGAGATTCTTTAGGAAAGGGCAGGCTAGCAGAGATTCTTTAGGAAAGGGCAGGCTAGCAGAGATTCTTTAGGAAAGGGCAGGCTAGCAGAGATTCTTTAGGAAAGGGCAGGCTAGCAGAGATTCTTTAGGAAAGGGCAGGCTAGCAGAGATTCTTTAGGAAAGGGCAGGCTAGCAGAGATTCTTTAGGAAAGGGCAGGCTAGCAGAGATTCTTTAGGAAAGGGCAGGCTAGCAGAGATTCTTTAGGAAAGGGCAGGCTAGCAGAGATTCTTTAGGAAAGGGCAGGCTAGCATAGAACATTTCGGAATGCAGAATTTCGTCTTTTTTAATGTTACTCTGATCATAATCCTGATACCCGAATTTCGCGCCACTACCGCAGCTCCGTCAAAAAATGTCTTATCAACCAATTCTGACTCCCCGCTCCTCTCAAAACGGGGGCCTGACCCGCGGGCCCTTATTGTGTTTGTTCTACCCTAATAGGAGGGGGACTGTTATCAGTATTCCCCCGTACACAGCACCCCTAATCCTTATCAAAAACTGATCGACGAGGTCGGGAGACCCCTTCACTTCGATTCGGGCCATTCTCATAATTTGCCTCAAAGTTTCCCAAATTTTCTCTGCTAGCCTGTCCTCAAATTTTTTTTTTAGAAAAACAGAATCATGACCGACTCAGCCGCCGGAACCTCCGCCATCCGCATGAACTACACCACCGACTGCGAGGCGGCCATCAACAAGCAGGTAGAAAATGGTTCTCTCTCGCTCCTTTTCTCTCTCTCTCTCTCGCTCTCTCTCTCTCTCTCTCGCTCTCTCTCTCGCTCTCTCGTTTTGTCGTTTTCGCACTCCTTCTCTCTTTCGCCCTCACTCTCACACTTCCAGATCAACATCGAGCTCTACGCCTCGTACACCTACATGTCGATGGCCTTCTACTTTGACCGTGACGACGTCGCCCTCCCCAATGTCGCCAACTGGATGCGAAAGCAGAGCGATGAGGAGCGCGAGCACGCCATGAAGCTCATGAAGATGCAGGTAAGCCCTAGATCGAGCTTCCATGGCCCTTGAAAAATTGGCTGACCTACTGTAGCCTATTTCAGAACCAACGTGGTGGCCGCATTGCCCTCCAGGCCGTGCAGAAGCCCGAGAAGGACAGCTGGGGATCAGCGCTTGAGGCTTTCCAGGTGAGGCTTAGGCTTAGCCTGAGCTGAGGCGTTAGCTTGGATATGGCTTGGCTTCGAAAGTACAAAATTCCAGGCCGCGCTCGCCCTCGAGAAGTTCAACAACAAGAGCCTGCTCGAACTCCACGGCGTCTGCGCCAACTCCAACGACGCCCAGATGACGTCGTTCGTCGAGGACACGTTCTTACACGAGCAGGTACGGCTTCGACTTGGCTTAGGCTTAGGTTCGGGCTAAGGCTGAGCTTGAACTTAGGTTTAGGCTTAGGCTTAAGCTAAGGTCTAAGCTTAGGGGAGGCTTGGGCTTAGGCTTAGGCTTAAGCTTAGGCTGAGTTTTGGGGCTGGAGATAAAAATGTTCCACTAGTCTTCCTGTCACCGTCCCTTTAAAACCCCACAAACCCAAAATTCTACAAGGTCGTTTTGCAGGTGGAGTCGATCGAGGAGATTGGCCGCATGGTGGCCAACCTGAAGCGCGCCGGGCCGGGTGTCGGCGAGTACCTCTTCGACCGCCATCACTTCGGATCATCCTAAATGGCGCCCCAGCTACCGTATCCCGCTACAAAACAACATATACTTATTAATAATTAACCGCAAATAATAATTTGATCGTTGTTTACAGTAATAAATGTTTTTTGGATTCAAGAATAAAATTCACAGCAGATTTCTCACGCTCGCTCTCTCTCTCTCCTCTCTCTCTCTCGCTCTCTCTCTCTCTCTCTCTCTCTCTCTCTCTCTCTCTCTCTCTCTCTCTCTCTCTTACTCGCACTATTTCAAAACGAAGCTTTAAAAGATTTATTTTTAAGTCCATGAAATGGCAAGAAAACGGCAAAAATCGCGGTATGTACAAACGGAATGTTGCGTAGTCGATCAATAAATTCGAGTTTTTGGGTGATATTTATGAGATCTGGATACGGTTGCAGAGGGGAGCAAGAGATCGCACTCCAGCGCCGGCAATGCAATTGCACAACGACTGCACGCCGGCCGTGTTGAAGCCGGAGCCCATGGCGCACTGCTTGGTCTGCTGGACGAGCACGTTGTCCGGGGGGAGGGCGAGACCGCATCTGGAAATCGGATGGGTTGCTGTGTTTCGCACGTGCTCTCTCGCCTGCTCTGTTTCTCTCTCTCTCTCTCTCTCTCTCTCTCTCTCTCATTTTCTTGCTCCATCGCTTTGAAAATCCTCAGTTTGGCCTAAGCTTAGGCTTAAGCTTAGGCACAGTCTTAGGTTTAGGCTTGACTTAGGCTTAGACTTCGCTTAGGTTTATGCGTAGCTTAGGCTTAGCTTGGGCTTAGGCTTAGCTTATACTTAGGCTTAGGCTTAGGCTTAGCTTAGGCCTAGCTTGGGCTTAGCTTAGGCTTAGCTTAGGCTTAGCTTAAGCTTGGCGTCGGCTTAACTTAGGCGTAGGCATCGCCGTTCTTCCAAGTCTCTTTAAAAAATTTTCAACACGTCTTTCCGCTTCTCAGCTAGCCCAGAACGATTTCCCAAGCCAAAAATTGGGCTCACGTATTTTCCCCGGAGCGGCGTAGACCCGATCACGTATCACACCCGTCCGCCAGGGGCCTATCAACGAAATTTCGGGGGGCCGGCATCCGCCCGAAGATTGGCTTATCAACCCGTGGACTTTTTGTTTGTTCCCCCAACCAAATAGCAAGTGGCAGACAGGGGGGAATGGATTCGGGGGAAGATCGGGGACGCTTTGGGAAAGAGGTAAATGATCTCTGCTAGCTTGCCTTAGACCTTAAGAATCCCTGCTAGCCTGCCCTTTCCTGAAGAATCTCTGCTAGCCTGCCCCTTCCTAAAGAATCTCTGCTAGCCTGCCCCTTCCTAAAGAATCTCTGCTAGCCTGCCCTTTCCTAAAGAATCTCTGCTAGCCTGCCCTTTCCTAAAGAATCCCTGCGAGCCTGCCCTTTCCTAAAAAAATCTCTGCTAGCTATCGACTCACCCGAGCTTCTTGAAGCACCGCCCGGATCCCTTGTTCATACACTTCATCACGCAGCTGGCGAACTTCTTGCCGACGGCCATAAAAGAGGCGGCTTCAGCTTGGAGACCTGAAAAATGAGGTTAGAGATTGGGAGAGAGCGAGAGAAAGCGGGAGAGAGAGACAGATCACATGATTCCGCGGTGTTCGTGAGTAGGCTGGCGGATAGTGCGCCAGACGGCGGGGTGCAGACACACAAAGGAGGGGTGGGGCGCGGAATAGGCGGCGAAAGAGTGAGACTAGGCTATAGGGCACGGGGGAAGAGAACAGGGGGCGGGGCCAGAGCGCAGATTCTCCCTTCGCCTGTATGCCTGCCATCCTGTCCCGGTTAAACGAACACAACTGGTAAAGGGCGGAATGCTGTGAGATAGAGAGATACCCACCGCTCCTCCTGAGGATGTTGTTGACCTCGTTGAAGGCGGCGAGCTTGAGCGTCTCCGGGTACCTCTTGGGGACCTGGGCCCCGGGGCGCGCGGCGCAGGAGTTGGCCAATTGCCGCTCTTGGCAGTTGACCACCGAGTTGATGGTGGATTGGCGTTGCATGATGCACGATCGAATCGAGGAGTAGGGGGCGCCCATGCCGGAGACGTGCTTCTGAAACCGGACGGTTTTCAGGGTCGTTGAAGTCAGTCATTTGAGGCATTTCCTCAAGGAATTCTGCTAGCTCACCTGGCACGAGTCAGCGCACGACATCACCTGGTCCTGGGCCCCCGATTTGCAGGGCTCTACCTGAAAATTCGGTCTAAAGGGAGTGTGACGGCTCGCATACCTGTTGACAGGTGCATTGGGGCTGCATCTGGGCCACAGCCAACGCCAGCAATGAGGCGGCCAATGCGAATCGAAGCATCTGCAAGGAGTACGGTAGGATACGCGGGAATAACGTATGATTACGGTAGAATCGAGAACGCCATTTGGAAAGAAAGCATCGTAAAATGGAAAAATGGTGTCGGTAACACATCTCGGCTACCGTACTGTGACTCCGAAAACGTACGCTAGGTTACGGTCAGGGGCATGTTTGAGAACGTTCATAGTAGCGTCGCGAAAAATGGTTTTTCCGGAATTTTTTGTCGCAGAAATCGTACCCCCAAGCATCAGAAATTCCGCTACGCTACGTCAGAATGGCAAACGTCGTTAGAAACCTGGCGGAACAACGGGTTTCGGACTAAATTATCAACTTCCGCAAACCGCAAACTATCGTAAACTCCGTAATGTACGCTACGCTACGATACGGTAAACGTCACGAGTATTGTACCGAAAACAGGAACTTTAGGTTATTTTGCTCAGCAGCTACCGTACACGAAACTGCGGAAAGTACGTTAGAATACGCAACGGAAGGCAAAAGATACCTCAATAACGCTGACAAAATGAATTACACCCAGGAAGTAGAAAAAAGCAACTGACGCTATTTTCCGCTAGAGCTACCGTACCCTAAGCTGCGGATTACGGTGGAAGTTGGCGAAAAGGGTCCCGCCGCGCGCAAAACACAATCGAATGCCCGAGGATCGGTGGCCTCCGCGGCGGATAGCCATTAAATAGGGGCCGGGGAATTTTGTGAAAAGGCGCTAAGGCGAGAGAGAGAGCGAGAGAGAGAGAGAGAGAGAGAGAGAGAGAGAGAGTGAGAGATGCGGAGAGTAAAAAACAGGGCGCGGAAATGATCCGAATCTCTCCCCGCCCAATTTCTCACCAACAAATAAACAAGTTCTCGGGGTGGGAATTGAGATTTTTTTGGGTGTTTTTCTTTGATATCTCTGTGTCTCTCTGTCTCTCGCTTTCTCTCTTCATCTCTGTCTCGCTCCCCCTCTCTTTCTCTATCCCGGCTCTTCACAAAACAGTCGAAAATAAGAAAACCTCAGGGTCGTCTCGCGCGGGCGCGCTGAAAATCGAGGGCGGGGTGACGGGATTATTTTGAGGACACACAAAAACATACACCAACACAAACAGACAGAGAGAGAGAGAGAGAGAGAGAGAGAGAGAGAGAGAGGGAGAGAGAGTGAGATGCGATTGATAGCTATTCAATTGAAAAGAGGTTCGCACTTTACGCGATGATCAAATTGGTATGTTATTCGACTGGGGCCACGATTTAGTGCGCCCAGCCAAGGACGTTCGGAACGAGCAGTAGACTTTGCGACGCTGGAAAATGTCTCGAAACTGGCTTTGAGAACTAGACTACCAGAGATTCTTTAGGAAACGCCAGGCTAGCCAGATTCTTTAGGAAAGGGCGGGCTAGCAGAGATCCTTGAGGAAAGGGCAGGCTAGCAGAGATCCTTGAGGAAAGGGCAGGCTAGCAGAGATTCTTTAGGAAACGGCAGGCTAGCAGAGATTCTTGAGGAAAGGGCAGGCTAGCAGATATTCTTTAGGAAACGGCAGGCTAGCAGAGATTCTTGAGGAAAGGGCAGGCTAGCAGATATTCTTGAGGAAAGGGCAGGCTAGCAGAGATCCTTGAGGAAAGGGCAGGCTAGCAGAGATCCTTGAGGAAAGGGCAGGCTAGCAGAGATTCTTTAGGAAAGGGCAGGCTAGCGTGAGATTCTTGAGGAAAGGGCAGGCTAGCAGATATTCTTGAGGAAAGGGCAGGCTAGCAGATATTCTTGAGGAAAGGGCAGGCTAGCAGAGATCCTTGAGGAAAGGGCAGGCTAGCAGAGATCCTTGAGGAAAGGGCAGGCTAGCAGAGATTCTTTAGGAAAGGGCAGGCTAGCAGAGATTCTTGAGGAAAGGGCAGGCTAGCAGATATTCTTGAGGAAAGGGCAGGCTAGCAGATATTCTGTAGGAAAGGGCAGGCTAGCAGATATTCTGTAGGAAAGGGCAGGCTAGCAGATATTCTTGAGGAAAGGGCAGGCTAGCAGAGATTCTTTAGGAAACGGCAGGCTAGCAGAGATTCTTGAGGAAAGGGCAGGCTAGCAGAGATCCTTGAGGAAAGGACAGGCTAGCAGAAATTCTGTAGGAAAGGGCAGGCTAGCAGATATTCTGTAGGAAAGGGCAGGCTAGCAGATATTCTTGAGGAAAGGGCAGGCTAGCAGAGACCATTTCGAAATTAAAAAATTTAATTGGAGACCATGACAGCTACAAGCCACGAAAAGTTGTGAAAACGATAGCACATGAAATTTGAGATCTCCTCCCTGGTTGGTGGCCCTTTTAAGGGGATAGATTTGGGGGCCGAATCAACAAAAACGGATAAAGCCCGCCAACATTGTGATTTCGGGATAGCTGGATAGGATAATGGATGTTTATCTCTCCCTCTCCCTCTCTCTCTGTCTGTCTCTCTCTCTCTATATCCGCTCAAAACCTCCATATCCGCTCAAAAATCCCGGCGAATCTCTCATCCCGCGCCAATTTGGGGAAAAGCCCGGGTGACGCGCGCAGATTTGGAGAAGTTGATCACTTTTTGTGTGTCGCTGACTCTCTTGGATAAACTGTCAATAGTAACGCCGCGGAGTTTCGATTTTCCGGGACAAAGCGGCGATTTGGGGAGATTTGTCGAGGAAGCGTGGCGTCTGGAAGCTCAGGTTGCGAGTAGCTGATCGAAAAATTACGCTTAGGCTTAGGCTTGGGCTTAGGCTCAAGCGTAGCGTAAGTTTGCTTAGGCTTAGGCCTGGAATTTGTCTGAGGCTTAGGCTTAGGCTTAGGCTTAGGCTTAGGCTTAGGCTTAGCTTAGGCTTAGGCTCAGGCTTAGGCTTAGGCTTAGGCTTAGGCTTAGGTTTCGGCGTAGGTTTAGGCTTAGGCTTGGCTCAAGCTTGGCTTAAGCTTAAGCAGTGGCATATAACGTGGCTTATAGGCTTAAGCTTAAACGTAGGCTTGGCTCTAGTTTAGGCTTAGGCTTGACTTAGGCTTGGCTTAGGCTTAGGCTAAGCCAAGCCTAAGGACAGCCGAGGTTTGGGCCTGGGCTTGGGCCTGGGCTTAGGCTTGGCTTAGGCTTGGCTTAGGCTTGGCTTAGGCTTGGCTTAGGCTTGGCTTAGGCTTGGCTTAGGCTTGGCTTAGGCTTGGCTTAGGCTTGGCTTAGGCTTGGCTTAGGCTTGGGCCTGGGCTTGGCTTAGGCCTAGCTTTCGAGACTCTTTCCGTTCAACAAAAACAGGGGGAATCCCTCTATTAAAAATGGACTTTTCTGCAGTCGATTTTCCGGGCCATCCAAAAGCTTTTAGCTTTCAGAGGAGGCGTTGGCTCGAAAAACATTTCACCCGCCCGCGAGGGTTTTTCAGACATCCCCAATGCCCCTGCCGTTTTCTGACCGCTTGTTTGGCCGGAAGCGTTCCGGGAGGCGCCTATTTGCAGTTAGGAATTGCCGGAATTAGCCTCGTCTTTATTTCTGGCATTTTCAACGATTAAAAACTATTTCAGGTTTTCCTGACTTGTCATGGCTAAATCGATCTTTATTCGCTTTATACCTGGCAATAAACGCCTATTCTACACAAAATTCAATTTTCCCTGTTGATAGGAGCAAAAGGAACGTGTCCCACAGCTTCTCCCGCAAAAAGCAAAAAGTGCTGTCATCCGCAGGATTCGAACCTGCGCCCTCCGAAGAGGACTGCGACCTGAACGCAGCGCCTTAGACCACTCGGCCAGAATGACATGGGGAGTGGGGCCGCAGAGGGGGCTATCCCCCAGCCGGGGCACGCCCCAGTTTCGGGCTGGTCAAAGGCAAGTGTTATGACTTGTAATTGGGAGCGATTCGTAGTGGAGAAGCCGGGTTCAAATGAGGTTTTTAGCTAAAAGTATCTGCCTTTTTGCCGCAATTATCTCTCTCGCTCTCTCTCTATCTCTCTCTCTCTCTCTCTCTCTCTCTCTCTCTCTTCCCTCGTGATCTCTCGTCCTGTTTTTTTCAAGTCCTAGGCAAGCTAGCGGAGATTTTTCAGGAATTAGGGCCGTAGACACTCAAGTCTTCCATTAATGCGTATCCTCCAGGATTTCCCGCCCAAAATCGATGGCTCCATCCGGGTTGTTGGTGGTTTGTCTGCATGTCCATTCCTTGCTATTGGATAGAGCGGGACCGAGGGCACGTGGCGGTGTATATCAACCGCTTCTCCGTCTCTCTCCTCCTCTCTCTCTCTCCCCTCTCTCTCTCTCTCTCCTCCTCTCTCGCTCTCGCTCTCCAGAGCCTCGCCATTCACACCCAACAACAAACCCTAAATCGGTTGCTTTTTAGGCGCGTTTCGGCCAGATTTACAACCTAATTTATGTCAACCAGTATACAAAAATCCTATGACTTTTCTTCCCATTTCTGTAACAAATTGGCATCTACATTTTAAGCCAAGACAGCCAAGCCAAGCCTAAGCCTAAGCCTAATCTAAGCCCAAGCCTAAACCTAAGCCCTCGCTAAAACGGAACTGCGGGACCTTCCCGCACCCCGCAAAATTGACAAGAAATCTGTGGTGTGCGTCTGTCGACATTTTTGACGTATTTCGGCCAGATGGCGAGAGCAGAGAGGATTAGAGAATCAGAGCAGCTAGTGGCCCCTGGCCCCTGGCCATGTGGCTGTAAACTGGAGGGGGGCCACGACCGGATTTTTGGGTCAGTGGTGGCGGGATGGCGCCGGGAATGATATCACTTTTGCACTTTTTCTAGGTTTCCCACATGATCTCTGCTAGCCTGCCCTTTCCTAAAGAATCTCTGCTGGCCTGCCCTTTCCTAAACAATCTCTGCTAGCCTGCCCTTTCCTAAAGAATCTCTGCTGGCCTGCCCTTTCCTAAAGAATCTCTGCTAGCCTGCCCTTTCCTAAAGAATCTCTGCTAGCCTGCCCTTTCCCTAAAAAACCTCTGCTAGTCAGCCCTTTCCTCACGATCTCTGCTAGCCTGCTTTTCCTAAAGAATCTCTGCTAGCTTTGCCTTGCCAACCCCTTTAAAAATGCATCAAACCCGT